TGGTGCAGCTTTTAGGGAGTGCCTGATTGAAGCTGAAAAAGATCGTCAGAAAGCTGCAGCTGATGCAGCCATCAAAAATCAATAAAGTCCATAGAAACAACTCGTTACCTTCACCTTTTTTTAGTCTTTTCGTTGTAAATTTGTCGTTGTACTTGTGGTTATGTCTTGTTCTATAAACTTGCCTCAACGGCCTGCGTTCGCTCGTTGTACTCCATCAAAGCTCCTTGTGTCCACCTATCAGTTAGAAGGTTCTGATTCACGGGTTGGCTCTCTCTACATTCTCTCGCATAGCCTCGATATTTGTCGCTGTATTACAGCCCCAGCTGGGGTGTTCCGATTCGATTTCGTGGAACCACACGTTGTTATAGCAGCTATCACTGATGGCTCCCTATTTACTGCGTCTATTACAGGTTGGTACTGCTTCAGCAATCTTAGATTTTTTTTACTATTTGTGAGAAAAGAAAGTGTGCTATTCCTTTTTATCCTTTACCGGCCACTGCGGCCATAGGGAGCGTATTTCTATACCACTAGGCAGACACTATCTTTTTGTCCATTTCCCTTTAGAGAGATATAGGGCTAAAATCAGAAAAGTTTGAAACCTACAAGGCTTCTATTACTTCCAAACTTTGGAATTTGGAATTTACTTTGGAATTTACCTTACCACAATTTTTTTTTCAGATTCACAGTCAAATTCCTCTATATCTGTGGCGGAAGACATTTTGCTTGATGTTTCATCGCGTTCCTCAACAAGTCATGTGTCCTGCACCGACAAAATGGGCTTCGCTTACGTTGTAGATCTGGCTGTGGGAATAGTTACTTCTAGATGGAAGGCTCACTCGTTGCCTTACACTGATACTGGATGCGAGGTATGTCAGTAAAGCAATAGTGTACATCTGTAATGTTGTTGTAGTACTGAAATTGAAGGTGTGGACGTGCGCCCAACATGATAATATGCTATGCACGGGTGGAGAGGATGAAACCTTAAAGGTATGGGATGCTCGAAGTCAGTGCGTTGTCCAGCGTTTCAGTCAATTTGAAGCCGGAGTCACATTTAGCGAGTGGCAGGAGGACAGGGTGAGGGTTCATCGCTATTTGCTTTTATGTTTTCTAGTCGTAATATAGTTATATCATGATATTATTTCCCATTTCAGTTGATTCTATCCGGTAGCTACGACCAAAACATCCGTCTGTTTGATATGCGTAATAATCGGGACGCAGTCAAAACCGTGCAGGTGAGAGCCTGATAGAAATTGAGCTGATAGAATCCCCAGAGGAAAGAGTAGTTGCAAGTTAAAACATTTTACATAATAAGCTGCACCTTACAAAAACCAGTTTGGTTGAATTAATAAATATAAGTTGATTAGTAATTTATCTTGAGGAATAATAAACGTCAAAAAGCTAATTAAATTAGTAAATAAAATTTTTGGTAGTGAGACAAGTAATATTAACAAAGAATTTCAAAATTTCAAAAAAAAACTGCATCAGATTCCTCAGATACATACATCCTGCGTTGACCTTAAGGCGTGGTTCTGTATCATGGAAGAGCTGGTCTCCCTTGAGTAATAAGCAAAATGCAGAAACAAAACTAGTATTTCTCATCATAAATTGTTGTTTAGTTTTTGGAGGCGATAGCTTTCAATCGTAAGGCTGGTGTCAGAGTCCGCGATTCGCAGAAATCGCAATTGCTTCTTCTGAACTTTTGAAATACTGAATATAGCAGGGCAATCAAATGGTGGCGTATTGGAGAGTCAATGTACGTATACCGGAATCGTGCACCTTCGATTTCTGCCATCCGTCGCGCGACGGATCGAGGACTCTGACACCAACCTGAGGAAGGATTGTTCACGGCGCCAGTAATTTATAATTGCGCCTCAATCTCGAAAATCCCAGTCACCTTAAAAAGGGATAGATGTTTAAGATAGTTATTGCTTTAGGAAGTTTCGTGTTCTAGTAGTTGTTCAATGATTATCTAATTATCGTTTAGTGATTTCAGACGGATGGAGGAGTTTGGCATATTGAGAACTGTGAACGCGCCGGTCTGCGATACTATCTCTCCTCATGTATGTACGGCGGCTGGGCATTACTTGATCAGAATTTCGATATTGTAAGTAGAGATAAGCTTGCTGGAGAACAACTTCTCTATGGAATAACTTTGCTGAATGAAAATACTCTCGCTTACACTACGTTTAATGATTCTAAGGTAAGCACTGCCACACTGTGACATCCACTTTCGTATGTTGCAATTGAGGTTGTTTCACTTTCATGTTTCCGGTATCGAATAAATAATAATAACTTCGTATAGCATACATTATACGAAGTTATCATCGACCAATAGTCACTAATCACAGATAGAATGAGCGCTTATGTCAAATTACCCTAAAAATATGAGAATCTGTATAGCTAAATACAATGCTACAAGATCATTGACGCACTTCCGACATGGGATGAATCGGTGAGGGCCGCGTTTTGTGGGCTGCATGGCAGCACGTATATGTCACTCCATGCCCAGAAGTCTCATGGGACATCTGTAAGACACGTTAAAAAGAATTTATTGGAAACAGAAAATGAAAAAGTGAAGAAAAAAGAAATTAAAAAATTAAGCAAAGTTTCCGTGAGAGGAACTGTTCTTGTGGAACAAAGTCATGAATCACCAGGCATCCGTGCGTAGCGGTTCTAAAAAAGTAATTATGGTGACCCACCTATTGGTGCCTTACAGACTTCACCATACACTACATTTATAAGCGGAGCAGAGGTGACAAACTCAAATCGTAATCTCCATTTCAAGTGAACTGGAAAAATAGTATCAGAAGGAGTACAAAACAAAATGTATACATCCATATAAATAGCTATACAAAAAATTATAAAAAGCAACTCACCTGTGTCCGTATGAAAAGTTGGCGATGCATGCATTGGAATAGATAACCGAAAAGAACTATCCGATGCAAAAGCACAGACCACATAGTCATTCGAATGCACTGTTTGTGTTACTCTAAAAAACTTAGGGATAGCAACATCGATGAAAAAGAAATGTAAGTTTGTAATATGAATACCACATGGTATCGATCACAAGCAAAAACCTGAAGAAGCAGAAATAAGAAGTGTGGCAAACCTTATTTATAAGTCAGGTAATTCATGCTTTGAAAAACCATATTCAAAATCGAAAAGTTCGATTTTTTGAATACGCCTAAGTTTTCAAAGGAACTGCGCCATATAGAAAACTACCAATTTCCTTCGCGGTCTTTATTTTCGCCAATGTTCCCATACACGACGTCTTCCGCAAACTTGTTCAACTAGTTTCCCAGATGTATTCTGAATACTGAACAACACAGGCACGGGTCGGCCCTGCTTAGAAAAAAATACTGAGTTTCTACTTCTGTATTCGATAAGACCAGTTCCTTAACCTTCAAAGCTGAGAATTCCTAGGATATCCTCTCCTAATCGAAAAGTCTTTTTAAAGAGGGTCATAGTTGCGACCTTTCCGTGAGCGTTTGTCATGGCTGAACATGTGTGGAATCCGCTTTGCGGAGCAGTGATTTCAATCAGCACTGCCGCCATTTAGCGAGTTCTTGAAAAAAGGAACTCGTTTCTCTGACAGACGTGAAATATATTTACAATATTTATTTTGCTAAGTTCCTTCTAACTTCTTACGATACCTTGCGATATAGTTTGCATGCGATATGCTCGTTTTGCTAAGTTCCTTCTTACTTCTTACGTACCTGTGATATAGTTGCATGCGATATGCCTCCGGACAAAAATGGATTACTCTCTGCTTTGGGATTTTCATCGACTCCAACGGAAGGAATAATTCTAAAAACCAAAAAATAATACTATTAATAGCTTCAAAATTAATTTTCGCATTCTGCGAGCCAACTTTTCCTTCTAAACTCGTAGCATCAGAATCACTGCTTACATGGGAGCTTACAACATAATAAGACTTTTGAATTGTTGAAAGAAGAATTTCCGAAATACTTGAGGATTCGTAAAATTTAACTTTACCTTACTGGAATGTGCATCAGTTTGATAGGAGCGCGAACATGCTGTACAGCTACGGTTATGCGGTTCAAATATTTTACCAAGTGACCACGGAATGACGGTGGTAGATCGTGTGTAGGTAAAGGTATCTGCAATAACCAATAAACTTAATCCAAACTCGCCAAAAAAGAATTTCACAAGGCTTAAGGTGCTAACATATTGGGGAGCGGTAGCAACCACGCGGCGGCGCGGGGCTCTGTTCGTCTGCACCTCTAACCAAGGAGGTCTTCCAGGGAATGCCAGCTTTCTCGAAACGGTTTTTTGCATGATATAGAGGTACGTGCATGGAACACAGAACTGTGGTTCATTTTTCCTGAGCGACCTCTGAATACCAAAAAGGAATGAAAAAATTCTTGAGGAACTGCCGTTCTAACTATCTTCACCAGTTAATTAACCAAAGTATACGCTGCCGTTTTCGCCAAGGAATCGAAGATAAGGTGGGCCGGACACGTCATGCGATTTTGCGATGACCGTTGGACCAGAGCGGTTACCGACTGGATCCCTCGGGACGTCAAACGAACACCTGGACGACCGCCGGCCCGATGGTCAGACTTCTTCACGAAAGCTCTGAACGAAAGGAATGAAGGACTTCGTGTCCCTCGAGCGAGGAGGATCCACTGGACAACTCTAGCACGCGACAGGGACGAATGGAGACGTTGCTGGCGCCCGCTCGAGCAAATCGATGATCAACGGGACGACAGGTGATACAGGTGATACAGGTGATAAGTATAAAGGTTGCTGATGGTCCTAATTATAGATATGACATAAATTATTACGCTGACGCTATTTTTCGCGAATTTTGAAACGCCAACACAAAATGCAAAAAATTGTCACTGCGAGGATTCGACGGACCACTTCATCACCCCTTTTTTGGTATTCAGAGGGCCGCTCAGGAAAAATGAACTACAGTTCTGTGTTCCATGCACGTACCCCTATATCATGCAACAAACCATGCTTCGAGAATACTGGGTATTTCCTGAAAGACCTTTCTTGTAAGGCTTAGTCATAGGAGCCTACCATTTTGCCGCACTGTGACATTCTCAACACAGTGGCCCCGTAGACTAAGCCCTTGAGGTGCCGCGA